AATATTCATTGGCTTTTTGAAGTTTATAGAGTTCATGATTTTGAGCCATTTCCTGGGATCAAAATATTTAGAAATGTGCTTTTTCTAAACCTCAAATTTTCAGGTAGTCGCATGACTTCTGAAATGAAAGCTCAAGAGACAATTCAATACCATCAGAGCTCATGCACCAAAAGGTGTTCTCATGGGTAAAGGCATGTGGACCTTCAGCACCAGCATTTCTCTAGCCTAGGAGAATGCATCTCAGCTTCAGGACTTGTGAAGAGCACTTGAGGAAGCTGCTCTTGGAGCCACAAAGCAGTATTCACATCACAGATGGACTCTCTCCATTCTTTTCTCCCAGAGAGCAATCCTAGTACTGGGGAAAGGTGGGGAGCAGAGTGCCTGCCTAAGGGAAAATGTCTCAGGGAAAGACACAGGGAATCAGGATGTGTAATCTCTAATTCTGCATGCATGCATGCATAGCCTCAGCCCTCATCCCTCATCCCATAGGCATCCAAACTATCTGCTCACCTTTCTGCCTGTGCAAGATTTAGGGATTACTTACTTTCCCCTTGAGATGCTTGTAATTGTTGTAGTGAAATGTGCTGCTTTAGGAATGCAGCCTGATGTGGGCCTTTCCTTGTACGTATTAGAAGTTCCACCAAAAAATAAGGCAAAAAATCCACAGAGGAATGTATGAGATTTGATTATACAGTAGCAATTCCTCATCCCAAGTGCCTAAGCCATGGCACAGACCAGACTAGTAGCCCAGAAAAAGCAGTGCAAGGATTACAATGGACCTCAGCCAGAATATAAGTTAAAAAATAGTCACACTGCTGCATGTATAACAAATCCATACTCAAGCATATGGTTGGCAGTTTTACATATGGAAGAAGTTGTGGACCTGCCAGAGAGAATCCCTGTGACAGCAACAACTCTGATCAATTCACTGAAAAACATCACTTACAAGAAAATCTGACAAGAATGGGACTAATTTTGTCTAAAAAAAAAAGGGTGAGTCTTTGAAGACTAAGTCTTCAGGTTCTGCAGAAAGAAGTAATGGACACAAAAAATTGCTGTCTTAAAAAGTAGGGGGAGAGATTTAGATTGGGCTTTGGGAAAATTTTCCATTGTTGTTAAGGTACAGACTGCCAGAGGAGATTCCTCATCTATGGAAGACAGAAGGTTATGTAGTATCTGCACACAATGGCAGAGGCAGAGCTGGTCATGCCTTAGGAAAGAGAGAAAGACTATGTGATGTCTTGAAGTCCTTCCAATGCAGCTTTCTGTTATTCTACGAAAAATGCTGAAAATACACCTTGAACATGTGCTTCCCCTAAATCACTAACAGGCGTAGCTACCAAGCCAGGCATTTCTACTATTGTGTGATTGAAAATGACAATATCTTCCTGTTTTAATATCAGGAAACACAAAGAGACACTCTAAAATAGCTCACCAAAAAGATCTCCAGCACACAGAGAACACTGATGGAAACTGAGCATACCTTAAGGTTTAGTCCAAATGATTTGAGAGTCTTCCAATTCTTAATACCTGAAGGAGGCATTTTTGACAAAACTGTGATCAAAGTAGCTGTGGGCATCATCTCACATCTGAGCCTCACAGAGGTATGAAATATTTCTACTCCCACAGTCTTATTACATTATTCTTCAAGACAAATTGTGTCACATTTGTCATATATGGTTTGCTCTTGCCCTGAATGTTTTTGCAGCCACTGGCACTGCTGCAAAGTATAAAACACCATCAGGCTAATGCAATGCCTTCTTCTGTTCCATGATTCCTATACAAATGACTCTGCAAGGCCAAAGGGAGCTGGGCTCTCCTGTTTTATGCATAGTTACCTGTCACTCTATCTGCATGGGCTGCTTTCAAAGGCCTCTTTGTCTGCAAGGTAAACTCAGGCTGGAGATGATCTCAGAGCTGAAATCCCAGCCAAGGGAAGTCATCGGGCTGCAAAACCCACAAAGTTAAAAATACAGAGAGCACTGGAAAATCAACAGGAAACAATTTCTGCTGACTGAAGGTTTTAGCCTTCTTCCAAAAGCCAGCTAGCAGTGGCCTGTTGGATGGAACAAAGCAGCTACATGAAAGCAGCAGCATTCCTTAACTTTGTCTGTTAAAGCAGAAGTGAATGCCAGGCAAAGGTCAGGATTGTCCCTCAGCTCTGATTGTAGATCTGGACATTTTGGGAGTGAGACAGCTGAATCCCCCAGACCCTCTTTACACTTCTCTCTCCTTGCCAGTGTTCCCTGGACAATGGTTGCCAAAGGGGATTTCTCCTTTTCTTCTGGCTCTTGACATTAGCAGGGCCTGAAATTGGTCCTGGCAGTTTGGCATGAAGTACTCACCAGCTCGGGGGGTTCTCAGGCCTGTTTGCAGGTCAGGTGTCTGAGCACAGCTTTGTTTGGCCTGACTGCCCCAGGGAAACGCCTGTCAGACCAACTTAGTCAGACTGCAAGTGCCCCTCATCGAATGAAGATTGCCCATTTTCACCACCAGCAAAGAGGAGTGTTAAGCTCTTTACTACAAGCCATCACGGAAAAAAACTTTGGAAGAAAAGCATAAAAAACATGAAAACACAGACCTAATACTTCCCTTTCTTGCACTGGTGTTCACATCAGATGGTGCATTCCTTAGCTACCGAAGCTGGAGGTCCGGCTCGACAACACTCTGCTTTCAGAGTGGGACATCTCTGAGGCACATGAAGACACAGAGGTGGAAAAAACATCCTTTCGTCTCCCCAGTCCACAGAGCCTCTGGAGCTAGTGTGGAAACCAGCAAGCTTACCACGACCTGTTGGGGAGATCACTGATGGTGCCCAAAGCATCTGATCTTACTGAGTTTGTCCAAGGGAGACTCCGCTCTCCCTAGGTCTCCTGAGATTTTTCAAATGTATAAAAGGCAGGTGCCTCTCAGGGGTACGTGTTTTCTCATCTCTGATCTGACAGGGTCACTGCAGAAGCGTGGCTGTGGCCAAGGCAACACAGTGCAAACTCTCATGAGTAAAACCCAGGCAGTCACCTGAACCACTGCCAATCCCTCCCTGTGAGCATGTCTGTGTGTGTGTTTGTGCTTGAAGCAAAATTTATTTCTTGGCAATAGGAATTTTCCCCCTCTTTTCATTGTAATTGGGAGTTACAATGATGTAAGATCGTATAAGGGTGTTGCTTTAAAAAGTTTACGCAAAGCTGCAGACATGAAATCTCATTACATCATCGGGTCACCAGTCCACAGCCATTGCTTTAAAATTACACAGATTTTAAAAGGAAAGTTGGAAATTATTTTTTCATTTGTCGTCTGGCCTTTGAGCCTTTACAGGTGCACCAGTTCTCCATTGGCAAATTTTTTCCATGAGTTTATGAGGACAAAATACACTTTTTTTTTTCTTTTTTTTTCTTTTCTTTTTTTTTTTTTTTAAATGCATAAAAGTTGTTCCTGGCACTATCTTTTTGTTCCAACTAATAGAAATAGCAGAAGAACATTAAACAGTACAAGGATCTCAATAAAGTCATGAGTATTAGCAGGACCATCTGAGTGTTCTGGTATTAGACAACTACTGGTTAGAAGATGATTTTACTGCTGCCCAGTCTTCATCATACTAAGTCTGAAAAAATGCCTTAAAAGGAAGGGGAAAAAAAACTGCTCAAAGGGAGAGGACTAAATTTTCTGCTTCCAAAAATGAGACCTGAAATAAATGGGCAGGAGATCTTTCTCCTTTTTAATGCCTTTATTAAAGAGATTCAGCTCAGGTGGGGAGAAATCGACGGGTCGCGCCCACGCCGCCGCTGTCCCCAAGAGTGGCACGGAGGAGGAGGGTGATGCAGCTCTGTCCGCTGGTCTGCAGGCAGAGCTGGGGACTGCATCCTCATGAGAGATTAGCAGATTCCTGCTTTTCGGTCCAACACTTCGGGTCCCCTCCTTAGTGAACATCCTTTCAGGTCAGGGTGAGAAGCAAAAAGGATCCAAGCAGGTACTGGACTTCACGCCCATCCTTAGACATCACCTAGGGTCCCCTAATTCTATATTGGTTCATTGTTTTTAGGGGTTTTCTTAGAAAACGGGAAAATTTTGAAGCAGTGCATTCCTCATCTGCATACGTGGTCTCAGGCCACTCCTATTCTCTTGGGCTGCGTGTCCAGGTGTATCTCCCGGGCAAGCATCGGGAGGACAATGGCTAAATCACCAACCATTGACGGGCAATTAAAGAAGAACTCTTAACAATTAAGCTAATTTAGCAGCAACCGGTCCAACCGGTTTTAGCTCTGTAACCTTAAACAAAAATAGATAACTTTTTATTCATAACAAGACCTATTTATTTATATTTATCATAATCACCCCTGTATCTTTTGCTTCCCATGGCTGAAATATCCCTTGCCAACCTTTCCAGCCTTGCAAGTCATGCCTCTTTTAAAATACAAAGTGCTTTAATGATTGAGCAGCTCTCTTAATAACTTACCCAGCTTTGCTAACTCTTTAATAGTAAAAATCTTAGTAAGCAAATTGCATCAGGTGACCTCCACTTATCACCTTCCTGCAACATAATGAGGTTTAAAAAGGTTTAAATATTTTGTATTAGGTTTATAGCTGGCCAGTGGCACGGCAGCCAACTCAGACATAATTCTAAATGGATGTCTCCAAGTGGAAACTTGGAATTTTAATACAAATGACCTTAAATCTTTTTATTATTATTGTTATTATTATTATTATTATTCTTTCCTCTGTGCCTTTTTCAGCCTGCTCATTCTTAATTCCTTCAGTACTTATTACTGCAATAAGTCTAATCCTATGTACTTTTACACCCCAAGTGTGGGAGCCATAAATACTTCTGCAGTCTCTCAGGGCAAACCAGCTATAATTGGATCTCCAGTAAAAAAAAAGGAAAAAAAGAAAAAAGAAAAAAGAAAGAAAGGCACATTCCAGACAAAGAAAATTTTGCGTGTGTGTCTGCGTGTTTGTGTTTCTGCCACCCTCGAGTAACACCGTGTCCTTTTGCTCCACTCCAGGCTGAGTTCTCCGAGTTGAACCTGGCTGCGTACGTCATGGGTGGCTGCATGGTGGACATGCAGGTCGTGAGGAACGGCACCAAGGTGGTCAGGTGAGGAGCACTAGCGGGTCTTGGAAGCTGGGCTTTGTGGATCAATACTGGGGCAAGCAGGTTGGCCTCACAGGGTGACAAATATCTGAATCAGGGCAGCACAATCCTGGTAGATTCAAGGATTCTTGGAAGTGGTGAAAAGACTGGCCTGACTCTGGTGGGTTTGTATCAGGTCTCAGGTGCACATTATGCCATACAGTCATTGTTTCTGGTCTAGACCCTTCATGGAACAGCAAATGCTTCCTTCTCAGGTTCTTTTCAGCCTCCAGACTCCCAATAAAAGGGACAACAAATCTTCTTCTCCCTTGATTTTTCTCTCCTTCTCTGTCAACTAACCCTCATTTTAAACAGTGGCCCTACTTCATTAGCCTACCTGTCTTGGGCCCTGATCCCAGGGCAATAGCCACTAAGCTCCGATGACCAGATCAAGAGCAGCCCTGAGAAGCAGGACTTGAGTGTGTTGGAGGATGAGAAGCTTGACATAAGCCAGCAGTGTGCTCTCACAGCCCTGAAAGCCAACCACATCCTGGGTTGCCTCCAAAGAAGCATGGCCAGCAGGGCAAGAGAGGGGATTCTCCCCATTTGCTCTATTTTGGTAACCCCCCACCTGAAGCACTGCATCCAGCTCTGGGACACCCAATGTAAGGACATGGAGCTGTTAGAGGGAGTCCCAAGGAGGGCCTTGATAACCATCAAGAGGTTGAAACACCTCTCCTGTAAAGACAGGCTGAGAGTTGTTCAGCCTAGAAGGAGAGACCTTATGGGACCTTCAAGCACCTAAAGGGTACTACAATAGAGTTTTGCAAGGACATGTAGTGATGCAACAAGGGGGAATGGTGTCGGAACCCAGGACATCTCTCTGGATACCCTGGATGGCTCAAAGCCCTGGCAGGGGTTTGGAGACCCTGGCAGGAAGCCAAAGACACCTGGAAATTCGATCTCAACCCATGGAGCAAATTACCAACTTTATATGAAGAATTACAGGTCACAAAAGTTTAAGTAGCATAGCAGTAGCAATCACAGGGTGAAGGGAAAAATTTTGGAGCACTGTGCAGGAGAGTTCTGGACCTTGTACAGGGGGGTTTGGAATTCTGTACATGAGGGTCAGGGGTTCCAAGATGGAGGGATTTGGGCGTGCCCTGTCCTTCTTCTTTTTTCTCCCTGGCATCCGTGTTCAGGATGATGTTGGCATTCACAGATTGGTTTAGAGTTGAAAGTCACTGTCTAACATAGGTGATAGGTATTGGAACATAATTGTAAACATAGTATACATAGTTTTTAGTGTAAAAGATAGCACCAGTCCGATAGGCAGAGAGTGTGCCTTGAGCTGACCTGCTGAACAGACCTTGGCAGGCCAGACAGAAACTGTTTGAGATAAAGAAATAATAAACAACCTTGAGAATGTGAACCAAAGACTTCTCGACTCCTTGTTTGGCTGCTGGGTTGGGGAAAAGAGACTTTTAACAGAGACACACCTCGGGATCTTCCCAATCACACCAACCAGACCAGACCAGAGGAGATCCCAAGAAATGGCTTTAAACCGAATAGGCGTGGATTTAGGTTATATACCAGGAAAATATCCTTTACTGTGGGGGTGGCAAGGGCACAGGCTGCCCAGAGAAGGTGTGGATGTCCATGCCTGGCAATGCTCAGTGTTGGATGGCACTTTGAGCAACTTGGTCTAGTGGAAGGTGTCCCTGCTCATGGCAAGGGGGTTGGAACTAGATGACCTTTAAGGTCCCTTCCAATGCAAACTATTCTGTAATTGTACGATCCTGATGATTGTAGCCTGATTTGCTCCTGAAATACCACTCTTTTCTTTATGGGAGATTCCCAGTGCTCTGGCCTTGCCCTGTGGTATATCTCAGAGGTAATACCTATCTCTGCTTGATGGGAATTTCTGTCCTACTAGCATTACTTCATAATTGCTGTCATTGCAAGCAGACTCTTTTCCCAAGCAATGCTTCTCCAATCACACATCCAATTCACTTCCCAAAAGCAATGCTCCCCTTCTTTCAAGCACCAGAGCAACGGCAACTTGGAGCTAATGTTATATGCATCTTTACAAGTTCTATGGAAAGAATAGTGTCACATCTGTGTATGATGCCTCTGTTTACCTTCACCAATATTACCTTCCACCCTATTATTCCCAAGCCTTCATCTTTATGGGTTCCTGTCATTACAACTCTACATTTCATCTTTGATACAATAGCTTTTCTCTGTGTTGAAATCTCATTGTTGTTCCAAATTAATTTTTTTAGCAGCCCTGCTTCTTTTTGTACAGTTCCTTTGCACTTTTTGGTGTATTCAGGATCTTTGAGTTTAATACTGTTGGCATATTTAATCAATGCTTTTGTCTGTTTGCAACTAGTTCGAAGTTAGAGGTAGAGACACATAATGTACCATGCAGTGATATTCTTGAAAGGAATTATTAGAACAGCTGAAAAACTGTTCTAATTTTGAGCATGCTGGCCTCAGTTTAATTTCTCAAAATCTCATTTCCAGTCCAAACAGTGCAAAGCAAAACATGTCACTGTCAATTAGCTATGACTGTGGTCCATCAATTCATTTCAGGTCTTGACATCTCTCTTAGTACATCCACAAGTCTCCATTTGTTCTTCGGTAAAATTTCACGAGCCTCTGCTAAAAACCTTTAAAGCTGTGTCTGTTACTTGCATTTGCTTTCTCCTGTCCCACAAATGTCTGTTTCTGAGTGAAACAAAGCATTATGTCCCATGAACCAGCCGCTGGAGCACTCATCAGACAGCGTGCAGTGCTAATGCACTCCTGTGTTTGCTTGCTCGTGGTGCTGGAAGGTTTCCCAAGAACCATTTCCTAGGTTGATCACATCTTCATTTTCCTTCCTGTGTCTTTCCTCCCAAAGCCATTCATACATCTGGCAGAAAGATCTTGAGCTATTAAACTGAAACTGAAGACAAAATTTATTTTACAAAACTGTCTGGGGCATGGTGTTCATGTTTCTGCTCACAGTGAACACATAAATATTCCAGCTACCATTTTTGCATGGATATTTATATGTGAATTATGTGGGGTTTTGAATGGCATTAGCTCAGGAGGTTTGTTTGTTTGTTTGTTTGTTTTCGTTCATGCATGTTTAAGGACACATTTGCATTGTGGGAAGCAGATTTGGTAAATATATACTTGTCTGGATATGAAATTTATATAGCATATGCTACATGCCATAATCCTTGCAACCAGCAAATATTTGTTTACAGCCTGTGCTGATGTGCCTGTGCTGTTGTGCCCAGCTCAGTAAGTTTAAGAGCTCAGGTCAGCCAGCTTCCATAGCCACTCCTAGCAACACTCTAGAAGGTAGAGAAATTAAAACTCTTTTTCACTTTAGAAAGAAAATTGTGGAACTGAGCTGTGTAGAGGCACCTTGACCCATCCATAGGGGTACAGCTTCTTCCCACTCCCTTCAAGTCCCAGCATGCCATCCACAGCCATGTCCTGCCTGGTTACAGAAACCTTTCAGAGTGCCCAGCCACAGGGAGACTCCTCCAGCTCATGTGTGTGCACCAAACCTGCTGCTGCTGTCATCTTTTTTCCATCACTTATTTGGCCTCTGTTAATTATTGAGCAAAACATTCAGTCAAAAGTCAGAATGCTTCTAGATGGTGAAGTATAATACTCATCATATTTTTTGAATACCCAGAGTAATGGAAATCCCACTGACAATTTATAAGGAGGTAAATACAACACCGTCTTGCTAACAAGCACATTTGGGATTCCCCCCTGCAGGAGCCCTGCCTGCTTCACATTCCTCTCCAAAGGGAGAGCAATAGAATGTAGAAGTTTAGGGAAAAGACAGTGAATATACTGTAGAGCAGTAGATTTAAATCACTGAAATAATAAATTTCTTAAGAGCAACAATTAAGATTTATATTCATACTCATGTTAAGCAACTACTGGGCTGCTCTCTCCAATTTGACATTATGTTTACTGATAAGCTATCTAAAAATTTATTAGCCTATTAAATTCCATCATTTTGGAGAAGGTCTAGTTCTTTCTTTAAACTGGAAATACCATATGGCACCTGTAAAGCAAAGCTTAAACCAAAGTTTTTTTCTGCTGATCACTTGATATTTTCTGACACCTTGGAGTTAAGGCATTCTTTCACACCCCATGTCAACTGATTTGAACTGCACCAGGAAAAAATTGTGGTTCTTTTACCAGGAAGATAAATTGCCTAGTAAGAGGATATAACAGTCCTTAAAGCCTTCCATTTATCTCTTTTGCCTCAGGACAATTAAAAAAAAAAAAAAAAAAAAAAGATGCTTTAGAAATATTATTGGCAATTACAGAAAGCAAAGACATATACATGACTCCTAGCCTGTACATCTTGAAATAAGTAGCTACAAGTTAGCAAACAATCTAACTGAAGCCAGACATTACTTTGCTTGCCTGAGTTTTAAAACAAACGTGGCTCCAAAAATTTCTTTTTACAGTAACAATGTTCTGGGTCTCCAGCTTCTCTTTTTTAGCTACTACATTCTGCACATCTGTAGAAGGGGGTGGAGGATTTGAGATAGTGTCAGCAAAATGTGCTGCTGGAGACAGAGGCTATCATCTAACAAATCTAAAGAACTGCATCTGTGTTTTCTGTGCCAGTTCCACCATGGTTTGTGAAGGCTCCATCAGCCTGTTCAGCACATTTCCCCCAGACGAGAGCTGGCCATGAAGGATCTTGTGCAGCCTCTAGCAAGCACTTTTCTATGTCAGTGCCCTGTAACCCTTGCCCTGACTGAGGACACTGGTGGGATGAGCTGGGCACCAGGAGATGTGTTGGGTTCAGCCAGGACTGGTGGGGAATCTCCCACACATTGGTCCTTGTTACCCCTGCACTTATTTGGAAAAAATTGGCAGCAGACTTTCCCTATTGAAAAGTTAAATATGGGAAGCAGGAGGTAGTGTTTATTTACCCCAAAGGATCCCTCACCAACTTAGACATAGCAATTCTTACAGCAGAGAAATGGAAT